CCTGGCTGGGTTTTCTCATGCATTGACCATCATCTGTGGGTTTATTATGAGGCTTTTCTGATTTGGGTTGGACTCTCTCACATCTCTGGAGCCTTGACTTGGATAACTCAGCTGGGTTGACTCCACTCTGTTTCCTGTGGTCTCTCCTCCTCCAGCAGATTAACTGTGTCTTGTTCATAGAGGATAGGGCTTCTGAGAGACTGTGTGGAAGGTCACATGGCCTCAAGAGACCTATGTTCAGATTTGACATACTATTTCTGTCACATTTTATTGGTAAATCAAGTCACAAGGACAACCCAGATTCAAGGAAATGGAATAGAGTCTTCATATTTTGATGAGAGGAGCTGCAGTCATATTGCCAAGACTCTAAATACAGCATAAATAAAATACTTGGCAACATACAGAGTTATGAGAGGGCATTGCTTAAACAAAAGAATGGACTCATAAATGGACACGACCTCTGTTTTAATCAACCAGATCATTTCTATGTGTAGCATCACCATAGCATCTTTTGTAGCAGAAGGTAGTTACAAGACATCTTAAGAATTGGAATATAAGGGACATTTGAGAGCCATTTAAGAGCCTTTAAAGATGAGAAATGTGTTGCTTCCAGTTTTCTTTAACCATGATCTATACCAACTGTTCAGCAAGTATGAGTACAAATATAGACAGGTTTTAGAAAGGGCAAAAATATAAAGACCTAAGGAGGGCAGTAAATTTATCTAGAAGGCAAAGGGAATAGTTCTTCCTTCTCACATTAGTAATACAAGAATAGGCTGTGAGAACAACTTTCCTAAAAAATAAAAGATAAATTGTTGACAGAACCCATGTATAAGAAAAAAAAACATTAAAAGTTAGAAATATGCATTTGGTTGAGTAAATATAAAATTTTGTCAAGGAGGCAATAACTGCAAAATACCTCAAGGAGATTGATTAAGGGATCAGTGCCAATTTAGGTGGAAATTCCCAGGAGCAGCATGAAAAATCAGGGAGTGTTTTCTGTCTGAGTGTGTGGTTTGAAAGTATTCAGTCAAAATTTAATATGAGATGAGTTAGTGTGGCATGGCCAATGAAAGAAACAATGTTCATTCTATATGTTGCTATCTCTGCCATAAAGAGGTGATGTATTTTAAACTTTAGGAGATGTATCATGCAATATGTGGACAGAGCCCCAGAGAGATGATTCTAAAAACAAAGAGAAGGAAGCCTCTACCATCACTGCAGCTGACCACTGAATATAATAAGTTGGTAAAACTCTGCCTTCTAATTTAAAGTGAGTTTTAATGGGCAAATGAATGTTGGTAGAACTCATTAATTTACATAAACGTTTCTAATGCAACTTCTTTCTCAAGAGAACATCAGGTAGAAATGTATTTTAATCAAGGACTCAAAATCCCACAGCTCTGAAAATGGTTGGTTTGAGGATGACGATGCTTTACAGATGTTCGTAGCTAAGGATTTTGGTGTAGCCCTGATTTAAATGTAATAGGAGAGTAATCCTTGATGCCTTTCTTACTATCCATTGCTGACAATAGCCAATCATGCCCATGAGGTAAACATTCATGTAATTGTACTTAATCTGGTGATTTTGAGGATAATCCTCACTCAGGAAGAAGACAGGCATTTCTTTCCTGCAGATCAATACTGTCCTAAGGAAAGCATTCAGCGTAAACATAACTCTTTAAAAGACTGTGGTCGTTTGTGGGATAAAAATCTCCCTTTTAATGCAAATATTGGTGAGGAAGCTAGTGTCAGGTCACTGATATAGTAAACAAAAGATGGAATATCCAGCAAACTATTTTATCAATTCTTAAAACATCATGTGAATCACCTTAGAAAATTCTAATCTAAGGTGCAGAAGGGTGGGTGTGTGTGGGGGTGTGTGTGTGTGTATGTGTGTAAAAGCAAAGAAAAAAATGCCCTCAAGTGAAGATAAAAAACAATTGAGGATTATTTTAATAAAATTTAAGATTACCTTAACTGGATTGATATTTTGAATAAATATAAATTTATCAGATATTGAGAACAGGAGTGGACAACAGGGGAAAATCTCTTATATTGTGGTTATTTGGGAGAGTAGATTCTGAGACAGTAGATCAGTTAAGTCAGAATCATCCAGCATTACTATTAAGGAGAAAGCCATAAATAAACTCTGTTTATCTTAAAATAGATTACATATTTAAACTTTAAAGAATAGCATTTTACTAATAAATAGAAGTAATTCTGTACAATTGCATCAATTTGTGATAAAAATCACTTGTCCATGAAAAAAGAAACTATGGGGACAAGATGTGGTAATATCTTCCTAGACTTTTAGGAAACCAAAGCCTCTAGCTCCTGAGATCATTGAGCCATTAGCCTTAGATACCATGTAGGTACGCTAAATACATAAGTACCAATCTGGCCTAGTGTTAATAATGGAAATAATGGAACATAAATGTTTTTTAAAAATGTCCCAAACTGTCCTAAAGGGGAAGTCATTGGATGTGCATTTTGGACATCATTCCAGTTAAGGGCTGGATTGTGGAGAGAATTTTGAATATATGATTAATGATTGTTTTCTTTTTCTTTTTCAATGTGGACGTTTCTTCCCAGAGAATCCACAGGTCATTCCACAAGAGACTTGTTAAAAATCATACCCTTTAACATTCTATATTTCTACTTTTATAAATTCTCTGTTCACTTCCTGAAATTTCAAAGCTTTTAATTTATAAAATGATAAGTTTACTATCAATAAATTCCCTTTTCATGACAACTTTGCAAATACTGATTAGCTACGATAATAAATTCAGTTCAAGTTTGGATCTGCCAAACAATGCAAGTTGATCAAACAATACAAGTATGTGTGTGTGTGTGTGTGTGTGTGTGTATAAAATTTATATATATATATAAAATTTATATATATATATAAATTTTAGCAAGTAAAACAGAACAAAAACAGCCCACACTACCTCCACAGCAATTTCAGAGACATTTTCTGTGTCTAAATGTTCCTGGAAAAATGTTTTCCATTTACTGAGCTATTTTTCTCCTTTATTTTATTTGTAGATATAATTAGGTGTCACTTGTTATTAGTTCAGTAAACTCTGGAATATTCTTCATAGCATATTCTTTATGGAGTATCTGGCAAGTGTTCTTTAGACTTGTTGAGACTCAATTTTAGTACCAGGACATTTAGTGGGCTACTTTTCCTCTTTTTGGTGATGTTTTCTAATTATAAGGATCTTTCTTAAAAGCATAAGTGAGTTTATATCTGCCACCTAATACAATAAAATATTAAATAATCTCAGTGAAAAATTTGAATATATTTTGTGTCTTCTCAGAAAGCAGTGAATCTGTTGCTGGATTCCTGAAATCACAGCAGTCTACATAACACATTATGTGTCAAGGCCATGCCATCCTCAACTAGGCAAGAGACTTCTCTTGAAGGTATTTTCACAATTTTACTGCTCAGGGGGTTCTATTAATAATTTGTCTCTAAATTGTAAAGGGCAATAAAATTAGATTATGCAAATTGAAAGCAGCAATAAAAAGAAGAGTGGCAGATATCCCCCATATGAGAAGTAGTCAACCCATTCATGGGTGCTTATGCTTAAAGAACAAGACAATGAAATGCCTACAATTTGGCTTACACATTGGTGTCATTGTTTTCAGGTGAAGAAATTGATCTTAAAATTATCTATTAATAAATATATAGAGAGAACCAGCAAGATATAATTAATAGGATTTAAATAATGTTACTCTTTACTAGCATAGATTAAACATGATTTTCATGTATCTGTAAATGCCCCAGTTTAAGTTTGCCACTAGCCTAATCAATTATAGTTATAGGATCAAGTCTTTTAGTAAAAAAATTACTGCCTAGATCCCACAAATGGGAGAAGAAGATACTCCAAACAAAGAAACAGTGGAATGCCTGTATATGTTTAAAAACTAATCTCCAAATTAAAGCAAAACAAACAAATAACAGATCAAAATACCTATTTGTAGTGTTCAGTGATTTCCATGGTGTAAATACTTACTTTATGGCCAATTTCAGGCTATCAATAGGATAAGACTAAAGTTTCTAAGCTTGAAAAAGATATGCATAATCAGGTTGTATGACGTGCCTTTAAAACACTGCTCGCTGGAAGACTCCTGGTGAGCAGAGAACTCCAAAAGAGTCTCCTATAGATAGTAGGCTACTGGCTGGGTTACTGACTATCTTGACCACTAAAAACTGCTTCTCATATATTTGTGCTTAATAATTATTTGTTAAACAGATATCTCAAATGAGTTACCATAATTTTGAGCTAGTTAAATCACATTTGAAGTTCATTATTCACTGCTGGATTTTATATTTTTTAAGGAAATGAAGTTTTTTTTAATTGAATTTATTGATTGACACTAGTTAACAAAATTAGTATACAGGTTTAGATGCACAATTCTATAACACATCATATGTACATTATATTGCGTGTTCACCACCCCAAGCAAGTCTCCGTCCATCACCATTTATTCCCCTAGACCCTCTTCTACCTCCGTCCACACCTCTCCCCTGGCAATCACCACACTGTTGTCTGTGTCCATGAGTTTTTCCTCGTTTTCTTTTATGCTCAATTTCTCCATTCCTTCACCCAGTGCCCCAAACACTCTGACAGCTTACATTTAATAGAAATATACACAAAATGGAAAACGCCAAAGAATGTTGATAAAAATATTGATATAGAGCGATAGTATATAATAACTGAATTATCTGAAGACAATTAGATTTTTCTTATAAAAAATGAAATTTAGAGGCTACCTGATAATCATTTTCAAATATTTAATGTGTCACTTTGTAAAAGATATTTGATTTTCCTATATGTGGCTTTAGGAAGTAGAACAAGAAGGAAATAATATAGGCAGATTGGCTTACTACCATAATGGGAATTTTTTCAATAATTTGAACCCTTCAAAGACATAATAAAACTCTATCATAATTAAGAAATTTATTAGCTTTAGTTCAAGAAAAGGAAGAAAAGCCAGCCAACGCCTCCACTTACCTGAATGTGTTTCTGCAGAAGTTTAGAGAAAGCTATCAATGTAGTACAGCCACGTCACAGAGCTTTACAGACATTGAAGTCATTAAGCTCCCCGAAAGTGGCTGTAAGGAAAAAACAGAAAGAAAGGAAAGAAACTTTTTTGAAAACCTTATTCTGGAAATTTAAATGTCTAGTAGAAGGTTAGAATAAATAAATCCAAAGTCTTCTGTCATCTTTAGAGTCTATGATTTTGTGTGAATAAATTCCCAAAGCAGAGAGATGTGTGCGTTCCCTGGGGTGCTAAAAGAATTGCTACGTGTTATTATACATGTTCCCACAGGTGAAACTGTTCCACACTCATGCAGGTAGATGACAAATGATCCTCATTTCATGATTCAAAGGGTTTCTGAGAAACCATTTTCCAACTCATACACACTAAATTTAGAGAAAATGAATAATTTATTTACACAGAATATAAAATGAATATGAAGCATGTCTTCTTTAGTATTATATGAAGTATTTTTGTCTGTAAATAAAAATATTCTCTACTCATATAAAATGTGAAATAATTTTCAAGCCACTAAATACTTTAATACAGACCAAGCATGTGTGAGATCAAAACCTCTAAAAGGCAGATATCTACCACACATTAAAGGTATCCCTTCTCGACTTCCAGTCAAGATGGTGGCATAGGTAAATACAGTTCACTTCCTCACACAACCACATCAAAATTACAACTAAACTACAGAACAACCATCTCTCAGGACTGTCAGAAATCAAGTTGAATAGAAGTCTGACAACTACAGAATTAAAGAAATCACAACCATCCAGACAGGTAGGAAGGATGGATATACAGAACAGGCTGCTCCCATATCCACATGTGGTGGATAAAAATTCAAAAGGGGTATCCCCTTATGTAGGGCTGGAAGCAAGATATCCCAGCCCTACACCACACCCTGCAGCCCAAGATTCCAGTGCCAAAAAGATAAGTTCCCATAACTTCTGACTGCAAAAGCCAGTGAGGATTAAGTTGGTGGAAGAAACTTCTAGAGCCCCAAGCAGTTCCTCTTAAAGAATCACATGGGGACTTACTCATACTCATTCCCTCTGAGCTCCAGGACTATGGTAGCAGCTTGAAAGGCACCAGTGGCGCACAGGGGGGAACCAAAGTGCCTGGCATTAAGGTGAGAGCTGGGGGACAGCTTTCTCCCAGACAGAAAGATGGGCAGAGGACATTGTCCCTTTATTAACCTTCTGCCACAGAGCCACAGAGCCATAAAGCCAACTGGTGAGTGCCATTCCTGAGACTCCATCAACCCAGCTAACACTGTTTGCCCCACCCTGGAGATCCACTGATATTCCTTCTTACCCTACTTATGGGCCTACCCAAGGTGTTAACAGTGACCTTTCCATATGAATGGCTGGTTTTGGCTCGTACTTTACAACTTCCCAGATCCTCTCAAACAAGCAATAGCTGGCCTCAGTGAGCTCCCAGGCCCTGTATATCTTGCTAACTGGCCCCAGGCCTAGCACTTGCGGCAGCTAGCCTTGATTCACAGTTTGGCTTCACCTGGGAATCTCCAAGCCCAGCACAAGTAGCAGCCATCTCAGACTGCTTCATAGCTCAGGAAGGGTGACCCCTTGCAGAACACAGGTGAGGGCTGACCTTGGCATGCACCACCTGGAAAACACCAGAGCCTACATCCAGTGGACAGCTACAGACCATGATGAAGCACCACTGCTCTGCTCCTGCACAACTGATCCTCCACAGAGGGTGAAAGTTGGTAGTCAGTGGTCACAGCCAGTCTTTGCAGCTGACTGGCCTGGATAAATCTCTCCCATTGATCTACCAACAGCAAGTAAGGCTTAACTACAAGAGGATGGTGTAGTCAGCTCACACAGATACCCAGCTTGGGTGATAAGGGAGGCAGTGCCACTGGACCCTACCATACACCTACTACATTAGGCCATGCTACCAAGGCACAGAGTCACAGCAGCTCTCTAATGCATAGAAACAAACACAGGGGAGCAGCCAAATTGAGGAGAAAAAGATACATGGCCCAAAGGAAAGACCATATCAAAACTCCAGGAAAAAAACTAAACAAATTGGAGATAAGCAATCTATCAGATGCAGAGTTTAAAACACTGGTTATAAGGATGCTCAAGGAACTGAGTGAGGACCTCAACAGCATAAAAAAGACCCAGGATACACTAATTGCAATGGATACACTATTGAAATACAGAACAATTTACAAGAAAACAATGGTAGAAAGGGTGAAACCAAGAATCAAATCAATTATTTGAAACATAAGAAACAAAAAACAACCAATAAAACAACAAGAAGAGAAAAAGAACTTTAAAAAAATGAAGATAGTGTAAGCAGCTTCCAGGACTACTTCAAGTGCTTCAATAATCACATTGGAGGGGTGCCAGAAAGAGAAGAGAAAGAGCAGGATATTGGAAATCTATTTGAAAAAATAATGAAAGAAAACTTCCCTAATTTGGTAAAGGAAATAGACATATAAGTCCAGGAAGCACAGAGTCCCAAACAAGATGGATGCAAAGAAGCCCACTACAAGACACATCATAATTAAAATGTCAAAAGTTAAAGATGAAGGGAATCTTAAGAGCAGCAAGAGAAAAACAGTTAGTTACCTACATGGGAGTTTCTATAAGACTTAGCTGATTTCTCAAAATAAACTTTGCTGGTTAGAATGGACTGGCAAGAAATATTCAAAGTCATGAAAAGCAAAGACTTACAGCCAAGGTTGTTTTACCCAGCAAAGATATCATTTATATTTGAAGGACAAATAAAGAGCTTCTTAGACAAGAAAAAAATCTAAAGGAGTTCATCATCACCAAATCATTATTATGTATAATGTTAAAGAGACTTATTTAAGAAAAAGAAGAAGATCAAAACTATGAACTATAAAATGGCAATAAATATATATCTGTCAACAATTGAAACTAAAAAGCAAACTAAGCAAACAAGAACAGACAGATTCATAGATACAGAGAGCACTTTGATGGTGGCTAGTAGGAAGGGGGTGTCTTTTGGGGAAAGGGTGAAGAGGTAAGGGGATTAAGAAATAAAAATAGGTAGTTACAGAATAGCCATGGGGATGTAAGTTACAATAGAGGAAATGGAGTAGCCAAAGAACTTAAAGGCATGACCCATGGACATGAACAATGGTATGGGGTTGCCTGAGGGAGTAGGGGATGCTGAGTGGAGGGGAGCAAAGGGTGAAAAATTAGCACAACTGTAATAGTTATAATTAAATGTTAATAATTATAAATATAATTAAACAATAAAAGTATTCCTCCTGATTACAAATAGATATCTTTCCATATTCTGACATTCTTTCTTACCCTGTCATTAAATAATCCTATGTTGGCCAATTTTTGTTTTCTGACATAAAATATAGCAATTTTACTGGTGTTCATATTTTTGTAAAAGTATTTCCAGGTAAAATATGAGGATAAAGGCCATTTTTTGATAAGAACTAATTTTCTGAACAAGCCATTTAATAGCTTAGACTATCAGTATTGTCACCTGGATAATGAAAGGATTAAATTAAAAGTATCTAAGCTCACCTCTATTTCTATTTCTATAATCTGTATTGTACAAAATTATTTCTGGAGGTTATAGTCATTCTTTGATCTGTTACTATGTACCAAGCTGTACAGTGGACACTGGTGACACAAAGGAATAAAACCTGAGGCATAGCACTTAGTAATAGGCAAATTTATACTCACTGTACCCAGGTAACACTGTGGGTACAGGGAAAGCGTGATTTATTCCATCAAGAGGATGACAAGAGAGAATATTACACAAAACAGATAATGTTTGAGCAGTTTAAGAAGAAACTAAAATTCAGAAAAGATTCATGTATCTCACCATTTGTTACTTTTAAAAAGACAGCATTGGGGGTACATGGTGATGGAAGGAGACTTAACTTGGAATGGTAAATACACAATACAGTATATACACAATGCATTACAGAATTCTACAACTGAACATATATCATTTTATTGGCCAATGTTATTGCAATAAATTCAATTAAAAACAAAAACCTATATATGTCATATATATATAGAAGACATAATTATATTTTTATTTATATTAATTCTTAATTAAATTAGTTATACTAATTCTTTATTTATAGTCTACATAAGAAATAGTGGACCCATTAAAATATGTCTAGTCATTGGAAAATTTTCTTGTCCTTTTAAAAATTCTCAATTCACATATGTTCAATTCACCTCCAAAAGATCTTTTATTTTCAGTGTCAAATGTTGCTTATTCACAATAAAATGCGTATGGTCATGTGGTACATTTGTCCCTTGAACAATACAAAAAAATGCAGTTAAGAACAAATTTATTAATGAAAAATGCTATTTCAACTTGAACTGGTTTGCTAATTTAGTAGCATCAAGAGAAATTATGAGAATTGTCTATCACCTCATTGCATCCTCATATGAAGCTGTTTTTAACATCTTTATATTATTTTACTTTTAAAGATCTCACTGCTTCCCTCATTCTATGTAGTAACATCAAATATTCACAATTGAGATTAAGATGGCGGAGGAGTGAATGGGAGTCACACTGACCTCCTCCCAAGACCAAACTGGAACTGTGACTAAATAGTGGAGTTATCACCTGGAAAACAATGGAACCATAGTGGGAGAGGAACCTTGGAGGAGGGGACAGACAGTGGATTCAACTCTCACACATCCCCATAGGTGAGAAGTGCGGTGGAGGCTCGAGAGGGTGGGCTGGGTGCCCACTGCCACTAGCACCAGAAGGACATTGAAACGGCCAGTTAGCTTCCCCCAAGAACAATGGGGTCTGAACCAAAAACAGGGACCCCTAAACTACAGCAGCTAAAACCAGGAAAATACAGACAAAACACAACCCCGAAAAGCTTAGGGGCGCTCTCTGCCAGAGACAGGTGGCTGGGGAAGCAAAAAGACATTTAAAGGGCCAACGCAACAATTGCAGTGGCAGCCACCCTCCTTGATCTCTGAGTAGAGGCGGCAGCAGGGTGGGCTCGTGCCTGGGAAAAGACTGGTGAGGAAAACTTTGTAAAGAGAACTGACACAGCGGCTGGTGGAGCCCGGGTGATGATG